TGGTGATGTAAAAAAAAAAAACTAAAAATGTTTATAAAATGGTGTTCAAACAGTGTTTATCAGTCTAACTGAAAACAGTGACTGTGAAGGCATCTCTTTGTCGTGCTCCAAATCAATTTAACTACTTGAGTGTTGATTTAAAAAATACACTAGCAAACTACAGAATGATAAAAGATATAATGTCCCATCACTCCACTGCTAATTTGACTTTTCATTTACTCTGAAGTATAGAATTGGGTCTTAAACTAAGCAGAGTGGAAGCAACTTGGAAATTGTAAACATGGTGTTGCAACAATTTCATTGGTTGTTCACAGAGCCCACCCGGAGTTCCTGACACAGTTCTTTCCTCTGGCCCAGCAAAAGGTTGAGATAGTAGGCTACTAATTTTCATTGGCGCTCACAGAACGAGCTGGTACTGTGAGCTCTGGCTCTGGTTAAACACTGGAATACTTTTGGTGGACTTACATCCTTCCCCATCCACTCATGAGAAAAGGTCTTGTCACCATGGACCACACCCAGAGATGATTGTCTTTTTATATATCAGGCATTACAGAACCTCATGAAGTGTGTTCTATCATGGTATGCTTTGCTAAYCAACTAACACAGTGGTTCCCAAACTYTTTATCTTCTGACCCAAAAAATATCCATGGCAAAAACTTGTGACCCCAAATATTACTGGTCAGAGTACACAAACTTTGTTAATTACCCTAAAAACACAGGCTTTTTGACAACCTAAACAGCTTGTACACAAACACAAATACTTATTTATACTTTTTGTGTGTTTTTGTAATAATTATAGGGAAAATATTACATTAGCAATTATTTTATTACCCTTTAAATTGATTTCTGGAGATTATCCAAGATGATTCATGACCCATTATTGGGTCCCAAGCCCAACTTTGGGAACCAAAGTGCAGTGGTTCCCAAACTTTTCAGTTTTTGACCCACAAAATAACAGTAGCAGAGACCTGTGCCCCCAACTATTTTTGGATGATAAACATTTGTATCAGGTTAACAAAACATGGGCAAAGTAACAATATTTTTATACTGCATTCATCCATTTTAAATATACTAACCTCACTCCTTTGAAACGACTAAGGCAAAAATGTAATTAATTCCGAAAATCTTTTCAGGACCCCACCTTGATGTTTCGGGACCCCACTTTGGGTCCCAACCCCAACTTTGGGAAACACTGAGCCAACAGCTTATAGTGGAATAAATTTTTCATTTAGCAGACTAAAACCATTTAAAAACATTGGCAGACCCGTTAGCCTCTGCTAAATTAAACTCTGCAAACTTGAAGTCTGCTAACTAACAAACTAACATCAACAGGTTTAGCTGTTTAGCATTAGCTTCCACTATTTTATTTTATTTGTTTATTCTCAGTCAWCCAGGTCATGATCAATCTAAAAACAGGTTAAAAAAAACTAAACTGGACTTCTGTTCTGAAGCGAACACCTTCGGGATAAAAGTCCAGTTGTTTTGTTTTTTAACTAGTTATTAGATTGAGTGCTAAGTGGAGAAAAGTCTTGCCAATGTTGTGGAAAACACAGTAATGTTACTTCTGGCTTCATGATTTTGGGGAATCATAGGGTCTGACTTTAGGTCACTTCTGGTGGTGATCCAGGGGATCCTGATGTTACAGACATCCTGTTTCTTCATGTCTTACCCCTGTTGAAACAGCACTCTGGTATAGTCTTTCAACAAGACAACACCCATTTACAAATGACACCTGTGTCTACGGACTTCTTGTGTTGTGTTGACATCCTCCAATGATTAGTCAGAGTTTGGACGTCAACACTTTCCCAGTGCTGATTTTCCAAATCTCGAGGGTCAGTTACAACAGCTCTGGACCAAGTTGCTTCAGAAAAGGAAACAACAGCTGTATGACTCTGTTTTGCGTTCAATCACTGCTTGTATCCGACTGAGCCTAAGGGGTTGCCACACCCTGCTGACACAAGACCAGGACTGTGTCTATTCTGATAACTTTGTTATCCATTTGATCTGAGATTGTATTTACTGCTATACATCCATATAACCTTTCAACACTTGCAATTTATTATTATTTTCACCATGATTTCTGGGTTTACTTTTGTCAGTGAGTGTATATTATAACAGTGGATAAGAGATGGCAGTGTAACTTGTTTTGACTGTTTTGACTTTTAATTTTCAAAGATTTTCTTGAGTTGTGTCCGATTTTATTTTTTCCTCCCTTAATCACCTACTTGCTCAGCTAAATCTACATGCAGCTGGTATTCACCTCTTATAAATATGGCTAAGCTTCAGGTTTCCAGAAGAGCATGGCCTTCATAGTGATGATAGGAAACATAGTGCCATAGCCGAGTTAAAGAGTAAGAGGTCAAACTGTTTTTCGAAGTCAAAGACGTTACTGCGTTTTGAAACCCGATAGTTGCGTCAAAAGAATAAACAGATTAAGRCTGCTGGTTTCAAATATAATTTATTCTGTTGCAAATGTGAGAAAAAATGTGCCTGTCTATAACTCTTAAACAGCCTTTAAATCTGCTGATTGGGACAGAGGAAAAAGTTAATGACAGTCAACATCATGTTAAAACCACACACTTACCATGTGTCTCCTTACACACACCTTTCAGTTGCTGCCTTATACAGTATATCTAATTTGGACTCTTCCATAAATAGGATTTGTTTCACCACCAGGATTTTCATTTTTRTTTTCCTGAGCAGCATTTTAAATATTTTTTTAAGAATCTCTCGAGAACTCTGTCACTTTTGTTTGGCCTAAATGAGTCTGTTTCTGTTTCTACAAAGTGTTTCGTGCACAGCTTCCTTGGAGACCTTCAGTCTAGCCATGAGTTCAAGATGAAAGTCTGTTTGTTTGATACTCACCGCTCAGTTCTGTTGCCATATTTTCCACTCTCAAAATGCCCTGTCAAAGAGCGGCGTTCTTCTGGAGGCCCGAGGAACACCCAGAGTTACAGCAGGTGGACAATGACTTGCAAACACATTTACTGAACAAGTCTTGATTCCAGAGTTCCCTCTGAACACGTGCCCAAATCCAAGGGAAATAACTTAAAGGAATATGACCTTTTGTACAAAGGAGGTAATGTGGTCAAGCAATGAAATTTTCTTAAATTTGACTGCTGATCTGGATATAGCAAAGAATCTTAAACATTTCTTCTTTATGCCTCAACCTCTTGTGCCAGATTATAAATGTCTCCAAATCCTAAACTACATGTTCAATTTAAAATACCGTGTACAAGAAACGCAAGAAGCGTAAAGTCAAAACATTCACCACAAATTCAATGGAAAATGGTGCTTTCATGATATCGAAACTCTTGTGAGTTTAAAAATTTTCTGCATGAATGTAATCTAGTTTTTAAAATAGCCCAAATTAAACAAGTTAAGTTGAGCTAAACAGGTAAAGTTGGAACTTTTCCAAGTGGTTGCCAAGTGAAAAATAGGGTACACTTTGGAGAAATGATCATACCATGGGGCCAATGCAGAGACACATGAGTATCCCACACAGAAAAACTGAGATTCAAACCGGAGACCTTGGTCCCTGCCCCATAAGGTCAAGTCTTTGACAAAACAATTCACGATTTTGACTTAGCAACTGARGCCTTTCACATTCTGATTCAGGCCTTTGGCATAGCGATTCAGGACTTCGATGCAATGATTCAGGCAAAAGGTCTTCAATCCTGGWCCTCGTGACCCATGTCCTACACGTTTTAGATGTTTCTCTGCTTCAACACAACTGACGGAAATGAATGAGTGATTGACAKTCTTCTGTTAAAMTTGATGACATYCCAAGTGGGTAWTTWAATTTTTCGAATACAAAAGCAGGGAAACATCTAAAACATGCAAGACAGTGGGTCACARGGAACAGAGTTGAAGACCTATGATTTTGTCCATTTTACATAGCAGCTTAGGACATTGGTGTGATGATTCAATCCTAYGAGGTAGCAGTTGAGGACTTTGAGGTAGAGATTTAAGACATTGATGAAATTATTTAGGCCACTGACGTGGCAAGTCTCAGGCCTTTGAAGWAGCATTTGAGGTCTGTAATGCTTCAGGACTTTGACGTATGATTTTGAACTTTAACAGTGTTGAGGCAAGTCCTCTGGATGGGTTCTTCTTTGTAGAAACAAAGAAGAAATCGTCTTAACCCTATTAGGTGTATCTATCGTAAATTTCTTAAGATTTTTTTTATACATTTACAAAATATTTACTACAAAGACTTAAAAATGTCTGTTGTGGCGAYTTGACGTATGATTTTGAACTTTAACAGTGTTGAGGCAAGCCCTCTGGATGGGTTCTTCTTTGTAGAAACAAAGAAGAAATCGTCTTAACCCTATTAGGTGTATCTATCAGTAAATTCTTAAGATTTTTTTTATACATTTACAAAATATTTACTACAAAGACTTAAAAATGTCTGTTGTGGCGACTTGACAAACTTACTGTTGCAAATCAGTTCACAGTAAGATGATCTGAAATTTTCTTTTATTTAGTTGACATTAAAGTTTATTGTTTCATTGGTGATGGCATGACACGCTTTATTAGTCATAACAAATTCAATCTGAGCCATTGTACCACCATCATTGTGCTTTTTATGTAGCTCTTGTGTTGGGAAGCCTTTTCTCCTTAAACATAATACATTCTTTTTAAATCGTAACATCGGTTCAGGTTTCAACCTTTTTCATTTTTTCTTCTTTTTTTTTACTTCTCAGGAACACTTTTTAGCAACAAATCTTTGGAGGGCTGTGCCTTTCTTCCAGCAAGCTTATCAGGCACTTTATTTTCAACATGGAGATAATTTTGGACATATTTCATGCAAAGACAAAGATATTTCACTGTTGCRTTTGCCAAAAATAGATACATTTTTAATTTTTGATAAAGGTTGTAACTCCCTTACTCTTCACAAATTACTCCTGAATCCCTGCTAAATTTTATTCTTATACAAATAACGTAAATTGCACGGGTGCTACAAAATTAAATCCKTTCAGCAGTTTTTACAGAAGTGTTTACAGAAGGTAAAGACTGCCTCTTTAAAATGTCTGGGCCAAGGCTGCAGGTGGATTAACTAAACAAGAGGCACTTAGTACCAAACACAATGGCCTATTCTCGCTCACTGTAATCCTTGTTGGTATTGCAAGCGCTTTCATATGACTGCAGAGAAAAAGCCATAACAAGCACCTCTCTCAAGACAGCTTTCAGCCGTTCATAAAACACCCAAATGTCAACCGTAAGTAGGCATCAATATTTGTTTTTATATGTATTGTTTTCTATGCTCTATTTGTGCTAAATATTAGATTTTAACTCTAATGTGTGAACGTGTTTGGCTAGTTTCCRTGTAGCTTTCAATCTCTTGGCCATATTTATAGTGTAGTGTATGTTTCTAAGGTTTTGTCATTGTTTTCTAGAATTTATTCCAGCTGTATCATTTTTGAAATTATTTTAAATTGGGTATTTTACAGACCTAACAGTAATTTGCAGCGTGTGTTTTCAATAAAATAGGCACTAATGGGGATCATATTTATGATCCTTGGAAATAATTTAATTACCCGGTGCTTTTTTTTTTTCTTTTTACAAGTCACTCTGGGTTAACTGATCTGTAAACCATGTGATGTCAGTGTTTTGAGTCGTCACGCTTGTATAAACAGAATCAATCCCATGTTCTCGGTTAAATCTAAAATCCACTATGGGCTTCATTTTTTGATTGTAGTCCCCACCAACCTCTTGTGATTGGATGCTCCTGGTTGAACAGAAGAATGTAAGAAAAACTTCTTCTTCTTTTTGGTCCTTTTGCTKTAAAGAAGACATCAAATTTAGCCCAGTTTGTTTCAAAAAAGCAAACAGTGTCACAGAGTTGCTGTTCTTTTCCCACTCAGTAGTAGCTCTGCATGCTCCTTTTAATGGTTCCGTGGTGAATCAAATAAATGAACAGCAGGGAGCTTTCTCCTCTCTTTTTCTCCTGTAGATAAATGTTCGAGTCACAACGATGGACGCAGAGCTGGAGTTTGCCATTCTGCCCAGCACAAGTGGCAAACAGCTTTTTGACCAAGTACGATGTGAAGGGAATCATATTTTACACAAACAAACACAATCCTGAGGATTTTCACTGATGTGTTTAGGTGGTGAAGACAATCGGGCTAAGAGAAACCTGGTTCTTTGGCCTTCAGTATCATGACAGCAAAGGCTTCTCCACCTGGCTTAAGATGAACAAGAGGGTGAGTCAAAAATCCAAACTCCTCTCGGGCTCCTTTTGTATAAATATTAGCTGTGTCTCGATTCAGGGGCTGCATCCTCATTTGTTGGCCGCATACAGTACATCACTGCCCCGCGCAGTGATGTCCCAATTCCAAGGCTCCTCCTCTTGTGGCCCACAAAATCTCCAAAATCAAGGCTGCGTTTGAGTATCCTCACCGGTTGAGGATATCCCAGGATTCATTGCGCCGACAGCGAACTAAACACAGAGACGAAGATGGTGGAGTTTTTACTGTTTTACCAAGTCGGTGTCGTTTGGAAATTCATCTCGGACCAAAGAATTTGTTTTTAAATGTAAGTTAAGCAACATGCTGATGAAATTCATGTCGTAAGATGTTAAATAAAATGCGACTAAAATTACTGATACTGGAGCTAAACCCAAATTATTAATGTTTTCCTTTTTTTTACGTGTAACGTTTTAATTGTGAGGTTATTCTTCCAGTGAAAAGACATGTGAATAAATGTCACTACACATTATAAGTCGGATATGAAACTGATCACTGTGGTAATGGGGTGTGGTCACGCAAACTTAAGTCAAGCGAAGGCTGGATCGTCACATTTCACAGTAGTTTCATGCACCCAGACTGGGAAGGATGTGAGGATGCAGCCCATGAATTGAGACACAATGTGGTCCTGCTGAGACTTCTATTTGTTTATTCTTGGTCTCCTCCACTCCTGTTGGGGGGTTTGAATCCCAGGTGACGGCTCAGGATGTAAAGAAGAATAACCCTTTGTTCATCAAGTTCAGGGCCAAGTTTTACCCTGAAGACGTGGCTGATGAGCTGATCCAAGAGGCCACGCAACGCCTCTTTTTTCTTCAGGTTGGAGATTATTAATCTCTTATTTTTACATTTCTTAAAGGGATAGTGTAGTTCTTTGAAGTGGGGCTTTATGAACAGTTAACATGTTACCTGTTGTAGATACAGTAACATTTTTGAAAAGCCAAAGTTTTGAGAAATGTAGTGTGTTTGTTTTGTGCTCAGAAGTTGGAATTTCCAAGTTTCAAGTCTGAGATTTCAATAGGAAGGCCTCCTAGACTTGAAGTTTTGACTCAGAAAGTCATAGATTTTTGACAAACTCAATCTCAAAATTAAATTCACAAATTATTTTCAAGTATTGTGAATGTTAAAGTAATTGCCATTTTTATTGTTACTTCTGTCGGCTTGATTTTCTATCACACTCACACTGTTAGAACATGCTGCTCCACTGTCGGAGTTGATAAAAAAAATACACTGTTATAGTCAGTGTTGTGATTCATGTTCATGTTTTTGCAAACCTTGAACTTCTTTTTATGTTTCTGATTTCAGAAAAAAAGTTTCAGTTAGAAGAAACACATTTCAAACATCCACAATCTCACCGAGTCACAAGTTGAATTTCAGATATCTGACATGAAAACTTATCGCAGAAATGTCTGAAATATGTCCCCAAAACATTTCACATGAGATAAAGATTTTAAAATGAACATCCATTATCTACATTTCGCTACTTAAATTTCAATTTCAGACAGAAGTATTTTGAATGACCAGAAACAATGTAATTAAAAACTTTATGGGGTGTCATTCTATCATAAACAGCTGAGACATTCTGGTTACTCCTTGTAAAAAAATGTATCAACAGTGTTCGTTCTGGAAAGGAACAATGTATCTGTGAATATTTAGAGCTGAGCTGATGGGAAACATGATGTCATTTATCAGAGGAAGAACGACAGCTAAGGAATCTGAACTGGTTTTGCGGGTTTGGAACTACTCAATTATGGTTTTCAGGATGACAAATCTTGTCCAACCATTAAATGTTAAACGGCAACTTGGAAAATTTAAAAAATATTTTCAGTTTAGTTTCCCCATGAAAGTTATTTTGGATATTTCTTGTAATTAATATTCTAACTTGTAAGAATTTGGTTTGGACGAGAAGGAAATGTCTTTATAATATCTAAAAACTTAATTAGAGTTAAGAGTGCAGTTTGTTTTATGGTGGGGTTTGATTATGTGGTACACTAGCTTTCCATACTGACAATGTATTATACTACAATTATGTAGCTCATCTACTAAATTTGAACATTATACTTTTTTAGAAGACTTCATTTTGTGAAAATTTAATAAATGAATTTGAATTAGTTCAGTTTGTATCTTTTAATTCAGAAGTTTTAAATGGAGAACTTTGAGCTTGAATGAATTCCGTTTTAATCTGTATCAGCTGAACATTCAGGGGTTCCAAGCAGTGGCAAACTTGTGCAATACTGGTTCTAGTTTTGTATTGTTAAAAATATTTACCCATGTTACTGTGTACAACGGGGGGCACAGTCTTGTAATCCTGAGGCTGCAGATTTAAACTCAGGTAGGGTTTAGGAAGGGCGTCCGACTTAAAACAATTGCTTAATCTTTTATTTGTGTTTGCTCACTGTGTTGACTTCTGCAAAGGGGAGCAGCAGAAAGAAAATCAACAAATCCTACTGCCTTTCAACTTGAAACTGGAACACATTCTATGGCGTCAGTGGTAGATTCAAGTTCTGACAATCAAGATAAATGGAAAGCAGACTTCATTTCTGGTGGGGCTAATTGGCTAGTCTGAGCGGGGCCAGGCCTAGAGAGGACTGAGGTTGTCTTTAAAGAAACTTAAATTGTAAAATCAAAATCTGAGGTACAGCGGGTAAAATAAGTATTGAACACGTCACCATTTTTCTCAGTAAATACAGTGGTTTGC